GCTTAAGCTACTTGCAAGAAGTTTTTTATTTACCAACGCCACGTGATGTGGAGTAAAGCACTGCATCCCTCAAGATTTACTCAACCCCTTCCAAATTATATTTTTGATGTAATCTGTTCTCTCCTGGGGGTCACACTTCACTGGGGTCACTCTCACCCAGGACTCAACCACCTCAAGGAACAGAGCTCAGCTCCTCAGGATCACTGCCACAACACATGGACCAGGCAAGGAGGGAGAATCTCCCCTTGGAAGAGCTCCCTGGTGTAACCAACTCCACATTTCTGCTGCCAGATGATGTCTCGGGTGAAAACCCCTCCCAGCACACAGAGAAATGGCTGAAACATCTCTGTTTTCCATCAGATCCACACTAAACACCACTGGTGCTCCCCTTGTTCTCCCTGGGATGGGTTTTTAGAGCTCTGGGTAATGTAACACAACATTGCACAGAGCAGAGTCCCAGTGGCACTGCACAAACATCTGCTGGACCCAACCCACTCGGGGCCACACTGGATAGCACAGCTGATTAGCCAGAGCCCTGGGGAATAAGCTCATGATTTATGTTTGTCTGAGTCACCAGCCCATGTGCAAAGTATGGTTTTAGCTGCTTTTTTTTTCCCCTTTTTTTTTTTAATTTGGAGCAAAAGCAATTTTTGGAAAAGAAGGGTCACAGGAGTTTCCTGCCTTCACAATGTTATTTCCACTATTCACCAGCTTATTATAACCCAAATTCTACCCAGCTCTGAAAAATTCACAAACTCTCTCCATCTAGAGGAAAAGAAAATAACACAAAAATGCAATCCAAATTAAAAAAAACACCATTAAAAGAAGAACAGAAAATGCTCAGGAACTGGAACAAAGACTCAAGAAGCAGACATAAACAGAAATGGAAATAAGTTGCCAAAAGCAGAGAAACTGGACAATTGCCAAAGAACCTGACAATCTTGGGAATCAGGGCTGTTTAGAAGCAAAAGGACTCAGTTATTTAAGTTTTGATTTCTGCTCTGTTTTGTGTTGTAAATCAATGAACCACTATTTACTTTAACAGGAATTTGGCTGGGTGCAAGATACACAAATGAGCAAAAAACATTCTTCAAAGCTAGGTTAAGAGAAAAAGGCTTTACTGTTATACAAATTCTAACTGTATTCTAAAACATCTCAACCTTCTGAAACCTCAAGACAGCTGGACAACATTAAAAACTCCCATAATTCCAATAGTTTTCCTTTTAAAGTTAAAGAGATGGCGATTTTTTTACCTTCTGAAATTCTAACTGCTTTCCAATTATCTGATCTGACACCTTGATGAGATGTAATCTACCTTATAATCCATCTCTGATGAGAGACAATGACAATTTGCAATGCAAAAACCATCAATGACAACCATGAGATCTTCCAGGAAACATTAAGTCATGATTTCTTAGGGTGCAGCAATATTAACAGCACACTTATTTTTCTTTTTTTCATGTGCACCAATCACAGACTGGATTGAGCCCACAAAAAGAAGTAAAGTCAGGCCAGCACAAAAGACTTCCAGGCAAATCAGAATAATTTTTACCTCTCCTTTTCTGACTGATGGTTTAATCAATATACAAAAACAACAGGAAAGCAGCTCCTCCAACAAGCACCAAGACAGGTAAAACAAACTCCAACAAAAACAACTTTTAAATAAAATCTACACAACATACCAACACTCGCTGAAGCAGAAGAGAGTTGCTCCCAACTGAAATCCAAACTTTAAGGTGAATTTTGAGCTCCTGGACAGTCCTGCACCATGCCCTCTCCCTCAGTGACCACTCACTCTGCTGCAGGGCAGCTCACTAAAAATCCGTTTAACCTGAGGCAGCTGGGTGATTGTTTAATTAAAGGCACCTGGTGTTTAATTAAAGGCACCTGGGTGTTTAATTAAAGGCAGCTGGGTGTGGTTAGGCTGCATCTCCTGATGGAGATCCCCAACCCTCTCCATTGGCAAAGGAGGTTGCAGGATGCCCTCCCAGAGCAGTGCATCTTTCCTTCCCCTGCTGCTTTTCCAGGAGCATTCCATGGAGACAACAAGAACAGAAGAATTTGGAATTTCCAGCTTTGCCATTCAGAAACTGATCTTCTTACAGCATAAAATCAGGTAAGAGTCCAACCTTCACCAATGAAGCTGCATAATGAATTACAAGGATGGAGCTGTCATGGAGATATGAGAGGAATGATTCTGTGTTACTGGGAAGTGTCAGCTTTATAAACCTGTCCTTCCACACTCAGTGATCTCCAGAGGAACAGCATCTAAAAGTCATTTTAGCTTTGCAGGCACAGGACCCATCACCCCCAGTCCTGAGTGCCTGGCACAAGCAGGCTCCTCTCCTCCAAGGGCATCCCAAGCTGGACCTGGATCATCTCCAGGCTGGGCAACGTGGCCTAAACACAGGAAAATTCCATTAATATTTGACTTAAACAGCAAACATGTGCTATTTAATCCATACCTCAGTGTTCATTCCTCTCTGAATAAAACCTGCTTCCCTCTGCAGTAGATTCCACCAGTCCATTTTCACCTACCTGCTTCCTCTGTTCCCTCTGGTGAGCTGCAGTACAGAAGATTTTATATTCCAGTGTACAAAATGCACCAAATCACTTCCAAGAGACAAAGCTTTATTCTTATCTATTAAACTAGAAGTTATTTTACTGTATTTGAGACCAATGACCCCTGTTTTGATGTTCTGGGTTAACACCAAACACAAAAACTAACAGTCTTTTCTAGTTAAAGACTTTGGAAAAAAGAAATCAGTTCTAGTGCATATTCCTTTGCACTTTGATAATACAATAATTACATTGATCAGAAACACATGCTAATTGGATCACTCTGGAGCATTTTTCTCATTGTCTGGTACTGCAAAACACATCTGGGTTTTATTTGCCCCATGTAAGTTAATAAGAGTTTGGGCTTGTTTTAAAACAACAAGCAAGATAATCCTAAAAACAATTTTCCAAAGTGAAAAGGGAGGAAGAAACCCTTCATGTTTCATCCAAGACTGTGTAAGTATAAAAACAACTTGAAGATATAAATTGAAGGATGTTTCCTACCTGCTTGGCTGTTAGTGAGGAAGGGAAAAAAGCAAATTAAAAACTCTTAATTCTGTGATTACAGAAAAGAAACAGCTTGGTTAAATATATTAATGGCACCAACAAGGGATGTCTCCCCCACCTACACAGACCTAAACTGGAATGATTGAAGGTGCCAATCCATCGGCCCTAGAACACGTCAGCTTTCCTCTCATTGCTGAATCCCTTGCTCAGGAGAGCTGGAAACTTTCAAGCTTTCTGTTGGAGCATAGGGGATGCTGACACCTTCCAGATTTTCACTTTAGTGGACCAACCCACAGACAGTATGGTGCAGGGAACAGCAGATGGCTCCTCTTCTGTTACCTCTGCTGCCTGCAGAGGAAGCACCGCTCTCAAACCATGCATATTCAGCTCTCACTGCAAGAACAAGGCTTATTTATCCATGGCCCAGCCCAAAATATACCTGTCCCATTCCAGAGCGTGCCTACACACCTCCAAATCACTGGAATTTTCCCAGACAGAGGAAAGCAATTTGTTCTGGACTATGGAAAGACATTCGAGGCTTAGTTTTAATTCTAAATAAACGTCGAGCTGTTTGACATGATTTTTCCCTTCATCCCCTCCTTCTTAAAAATATGATACAAACCAGGGCAAGTGATGAAAAAAGGAAACCAGCTTGTTTTTCTGTTTCACAACTTACCTTACACTGATCTGGGCCTTGATATAATTAGAACAACTACCACAAAACTTTTTCACTTGAGGATGCTCTTTTCATACCTCACCAGCAGCAGTGTGAACGTTCTGTTTGTGCAGAAGTCCAGGGTAAATCCAGCATTTCTCCAGCTATTAAACAATTTTTGTGCAATCTTTGTGAGACCACACGTACACAATTTAATCCCATAACTTTCTTACAGGATCACAGACTTCTATGACAAAATAAATTCCCCATGAACTAATAGAAGAATGACTCTATGAATGTGACAAGAGTGCAACCAAGTTTTTCCATCATGCCATTGAATACCACAGGGTTTACTTTTCCCCAGGGATCAATGGAAAGCAGGTTTTGATTGTACAGATAACCTCACAGAGCAGTGCTATGGGACAAGGCTCGCTGCATTTTACCCACCTGGTCTTGGGCATACCCAATGCTCTGCTTCTCCTACAGTTATTATAAAAGCAGAAAAGATGTGCTTGGAGAATAAAGCATAAGTTACAAAAAAAAAAAAAAAATCAGGATATGAACAATTTAAATATAAATTGTGGAAGAAAATAAGCAGTATATTGGATTGACTGGAAATGGTTTTTTTTTTACTCCCAAACTTATCTGTGCAAGTAAAAGGGATATTGATGAATGTGGGAATGAACAGAAAGTTATGAATATAGACTGTTAAATCAATACAGGTGCATGCAAATAAATCACAAACCCAAAAAAAAACCTGATCAATTTTCAAACCAGCTGGGGCCTGATCTGTTTCTCAGGACATCAAATGTAAATCTGGCATAAATATAACTTGTGTGTTTTCCTTGAGTGTGGACTGTGTTTTCCACCAGCCACGGGCTTTTAAGCAACAGGTAGAAATAAATAATAATGTTGTCTGGGCTGTGGTGCACAGGAGATGAGGCAAAACATTTTAATGGGCTCCTTAAAACCTGTGAATCTGCAAGAAGTGGTGCAAGGTGGAATCAAGATGCTCCCATCTCCCCTTAGAGAGCCGGTGAGACCATGGCTCGTTTTATTCGCCGTAACTCTGTAAATTAAATGCTGTTAAAATTCATGCAGTAATTAATATGACACCTGATTAGCTCAAGAGAACACGGAGCACCGTGTTGGAAATCTGACTTGCAGTGGGTTTGTGGAGGAAGAAATGAGAAGGGTGTGCTCGGACAGGGGTTGGGGGGATATCCCTGTGTCCATGCATTTTGTGTGAGGAGCACTCTGAGAGTGGAGACACACTTACAAAGTAGCCTGTTCCCAAGCTGGAAGGAGCTGAGCTCTGCAATAAAACACAAAGACAAAGTGGGAAGTCAGTGATGGTTTTTAACACGTTCCAATCCACACAGCTCATTACAGCCCTTTCCAAGCTTTTCATCACCACATCACAGCCCCTGCGTCCTGCCCCTTGTCATCTGCTACTGAAACAAACACACTGCTGCTTAATTTCCCCCCTTTACATCCCTCAACCACTCCGAGATGGTAACGTGCTATTTACTGAATTCCAAGCTTCTGCAGTGGACGTAATTGCCAATTTATTTGACAGGCAGCTGGGTAATGAATTAATGATGGCATTTCGCCCTGCACTGAGACTAAACAGACACTCATCAAGCAGCCTCCCTGACATGCTGACATTCAATGCCCTGGACTCCAGCTCCTCAGCTTGGTGGCCACAAAGGGGCAGGAGGGAGGGGGAGAAAGGGAAAAAAAAAGTAGACTGACTTCAAAACAAAAAGCCCGGTGGGTTTGGATGACTTTTTCAGTGTATGACCTGTTTGCCAATTTATTCCCGAAAGGCCCCGGTTAGTACACACATAGTGCTTTTCTAAAATGAGACATTTTGTAAACATAATTAGTAGTCTGAAATGTAAAGAATGCGTGGGCACAGAGAAGCTGCTTTAGTCAATGTACCATTTTCTGGAGAATGCAGTCACTACAATTTCCCATTTGGATGTCCACATTGTTTGACAAACCGAGGATTTAGAAACAACAACAACGAAAGCAAACAGCGAATATCTAAAGTGTGAAATAGATTTCAAATCTCAAACCTATAAAAATAATTAAAACTAATACTGCTACCATGGAAAATAATCAATTTGTTTAAATGTTATTTAAAAAAAAGAAAAAAAGCATTGTGAAATTCAGTTTAAGTGGGACACGACCACAACCTCTAGATTCACAGGAATTAAGGAGATAAAGGGTTTTGTTTCATTAGTTTTTCATCTCAGCAATGGGGATTACACAGCAGGTTCTCTCAGAGATGTGGGGGAGCCCAAAACATCCTGGTGCTAATCCAGGTCAGGCTGTTCCTCTGGAGGGGAGCAGCTCCCAGCTCCCATGGCCACAGCAGCAGAAAGCAGAGCCCAGTCCCCAGAGCCCCAGGGTGGAGATCCTGGAGCTCCTGGAGCTCAATTCCCAGTGTGGAGCTCCTGGAGCTCAATTCCCACTTCTGCCCCTCAGCACAGGATACTTCCTGTAAAGTATGCTAATTTGTTAAAATATAAAATTAAATAAAATCAATTTATTAAATTAATAATATAAAAACTAAATAAAATATAGATAAAATAAGTATATTTTATATTAAATTAAATATAATAAATAAAAATATATGAATAATATATATAAATTTTATATAGAAATGAGATAGATAATAAATAAAATAAATATAATATATAAATATATATAAAATATAAATATATAAATAAATATAAAATAAATAAAAAAATAATAAAATATAAAATTGTCAAAGTCCTGGGTCATGTGTGCATTTTCCCTTATCTGCAGCTGGAGTATCTCCATTAAAGGTAACAGCTTTTTATCATCTTAATATAGTTTGGTTTGTGCTTTTCAGCACCCCTGGGAGCCCCTGCAGCCCTGGCAGGGTGCAGCACACCCTGCTCATATCCAACAGGACACACACTGCCTTCCTCTTCAGCCATCCTCTGCCTCATGCCATTGAAATTTGAGAATTTGAGAATGAAATTCTGTTTATTTGAGCTGCAGTTCTACCCACGAGTTCCACACGTGCACTCATTATAAGCACTTTTGTTTCAGCTCTGTGCAGATGCCAAGCGAGTCCCACTCCTTCACTCACAGTTTTTTTTTTAAACTTACTTTCCTGGCTGAAAGCTCCAAAGTTTGCATTCTGCATCTGTGTGTAATTTTTGTCTGCTTTTTATTCCAAGTTTTGGAAGGATAGAGTATCAAAACAAAACAATAAAGAGGAAGAAAAAAAACAAAACAAAACAAAAAGAATAAGCAAACGAAGTATTTCCCACTGAATATTTTCATTCCTTCAAAAGCAATGCTGCGATGGCTATGGGAGGACAGTCGAAACAGAGCAGTCAAATGACTTTCAGTGAACAACTGTGCTTTTCCAGGGAACTTGAGCTTGCTGGATGGAAATCTAGCCCTTCACACATTGCATGCTGCATATGGAGAGTGCAGTTTGCAAACTCTGTTTAATTGAAGTATGAGAGGCTGTGCTGCACATGCATGAATGACTGTCAGCTGTGTTTGTGTGCTGAAGCGAGGGCGATGCAAGGAGACGACTTCTCACCTTTTGGGGAACTCCCAATAGCGAAAGGATCCCACTACCCAGAGCCCAGCCTTGGAACCAACTCTACAGGCATCTTTACAAGGCCATGCTGAGTCGTGATCCTGCACTGGCTGGTTCTATAGCTCCTACATAAAGTGTGCCTATAATAGAGGTAATGGTTTCACTCTCCCAAACCCTTTGCAAAGCAGGACATTAGAAACACTGTTTGATATTCACACAACCACCAGCAGAAGCCTGCATCAGGTGCCCATCAGCAAAACACACTTCTTTAAAATTGACAGGGTTCTGGGGTTTTTGGTTGGTTTTTTTTTCTTTGTTTTGGTTTTTTTGTTTTGGTTGGTTGGTTTTATTGTTCCCATCCTTCCTTAAAGAGAAGAACTTTGGCCCAGAAGCAAAAACCTAGTAACCCTCATGTAAGCATTAGTTTATTGTGTACCAAAGAAAATTACATCCTTGAGGTCTTGGAAGGCACAGTTAAACCCGTTTTGCATATATATTGTGCATTACTTGGGGAGCTGGGTGGGGAGAAACACTGCGTTGTACATATTTGTTCTGGCTATTGTTTATGCAGGTCTGACTGAATGAAGGAACAGTGGGTATCATTTCAATTTCTGATGTCAACATCAAATTACTTATTTAATTTCATGCCTGGCGAAGCATTGTATAGCTACACGCAGAATCATTTCACTTCATTTGTTATGCTGTGTTTTCTCGGCGATTGGCTCGCCTTCCAACTGACAGCTTTAATTACGACATGAATTTGATTGCACTGCCGAGGAATTAACATAATGCAACAAAGCATTTAAGCACCCAACCTTAGACACACAAACACACACATCCCCACCCTCGCAGCCACACAAAGCACTGCTGAGCAGCTCCTGGCACAGCACACGGAGCTCAGCCAGCATCACTGGGGATGTTCTGCACAGGGAGCAGCTCTGAGGCTTCCAGAGCACAAAACACAACGTTCACCCCTTCATTTGGCTTTGGCTCTGTGCACTGGGAGGGATGGGAGACAAAAGGATTGAAGATATCCTGTATTTGGGGCTGAAATCGTGGGCTGCAACACCACAGGGTTACACTGCTACATCTCTTCCTGAAGCAAGCAGCGACAGACCTGCTGGGCAGGGGATGGAGGATCTCAGGAGCTGATGCTCGCCGTGCCCACCTCGCTGTGGTCTCCTCCCAAGCACAGGAGGAGCAGCACTGGGAACAGGGGGCACTCAGGGAGAGTGCAGCAGCTTTGCTGAGCTCGTTTGAGAGCCCAAGACCTGTAATGTGGGGACAAATGGGGACATTCCTGTCCCACTCCCTGTTTGGGAGCTGGAAAAGAAGGGCAGCAAGAGGTGACGAGGTGCTGAATCCCATCCAGTGACCGTGTGGTCACTGTGTGATCATTTTCCTGCTCATCCCTTCACTGAAAGCCTGCAAGAAACACCACAGGCAGCAGGGCTGAGATCAGGTGGATCAGGAATTTAGGAATGTGCTCCAAAGAAATCAGGTGGTTTGATTTTTGATTAGCAAAGAGGTGACTGAACCCCTGAATACTCGCTGCATTTGCCATCCAGGTTAGCTGTAACTCTGGTATTTCCCTCAAGTAAATCTCCTGGCTGTTTTGTAAAACATGACTAAAATGAAATCCAAAGAATGAGGACTCAATTAAAAATAAACACATCCAGGAAGATAAGGAAAACAAGCTGAGTGAGCTCCAAGCTGAGCAGAAGAGAAAGCGCTGCCATCTTGTCTCCAAGCAAGATCTCAACAAAATGAATTCTACTACTGGCAAGATTTTGATGAGATTAAACTGACTACAGCACCCTTTATATAAAGGAGGAGCAGCTCTCCAATTTCGCTTTTAGGCCCCTGGAGCTACCTCTGCCCATAAAGGAAAAAAACAAGTTGTCATTCCTAAAAAAAAAAACCTATATAGGGGAGAAAGGCAGAGAGCCATGGGTTTATGAAATTCAGAGGGGGAGCTGGATCAAGGCACTGCTTGCACTGGAGCATCTGAGCAATCATTACCCCTAATCTAGCAGAGGTCAAATTCTCTGCTAATTATGTTCTCTGGCAGAGGGGTGGGGGTGTGTGCACACGTGTGCCAGGCGAGGACAAAGAGAGGAGCTGACAGGAATCAGTCTCACTGCATTGCATCTGACAAGAACAGAGGATATTCCCCTTCCTACTGTCTGATGCTATTTCAAGCCTCATTATGAGAAAAGTCTCCTGTTTAACATGGGCTTTTCATTGAATTATCTTCTTTTCATTTTTACCTCTCACAAATGCTGCAAATTACCTGCTTGGATCTCATTAGCATGGAAAGGAGTCACCCCTTGTAAACACACTTTGCATCACTCTGCATTATCCAAGGACTGCAGGTACATTTACAATAGGCAGAGTTGAAAGATACCTGGCAGGAGAGGGAATGAAGCCACTGCCATGTCAGTTTGCAGCTGGATATTCATTATCCCCTCTCCCTCCTTCTGCAGCTGTCACTGAGCTCTCACTCTGGCCCTGCACTGAGGCCTGTGAAGCTCAGTCATTCCTGTTTCTCCAGCCTGCTCAAACTGGGGATGGGAAAATGGATCATGCACCTGGAGAACATGCACTCACCAGCCCTATTTCCACACAGAACCATGCTTAGTCTTACATCTGCCAGGACACAATAGTGGAGGTTCATTGTTTGTGGCCAAAATTTGCTTTCTCACCCCATGGTTCATCTGCCTGCAATGTTTTGTATTTTTTGTTCTATCTTCTGTTGGGTACACAAGTTTTTGCATATTTTTTTTTTTCTGAGAAAACAGCTGTAAGAACAGAAGCAAAGCTGCAGAGAAAACTTACTGTAGATTTTTCTGGGCAGTAATAGTGGGTATCATCAGACATCTGACTTCTTCAAAAAGTATTATTTAAAATAACCATTTGGAAGATCCTGTCATTTGATCAGACACACAGGGTGTCTGATCTGGGAGAGAGGAAAGGGGATGGACAGCCCTGAACTGATTTTGGGAGAGAGGAAAGGGGATGGACAGCCCTGAACTGATTTTGGGAAAGGGAAAAGGGGATGGACAGCCCTGAACTGATTTTGGGAAAGGGAAAAGGGGATGGACAGCCCTGAACTGCCTGGGGAAGGCCACCACACACCCAGGCACAGTGAGAGCTTCATCTTGTGAGTGTTTTTTCAAATCTCAGCTGAACTGGTTAATACCAGGCCAGAGAGACACACCCAGGCACAGTGAGAGCTTCATCTTGTGAGTGTTTTTTCAAATCTCAGCTGAACTGGTTAATACCAGGCCAGAGAGACATGCTTGTACTGCAATGAATTATCAAAGCATAAAGGAACTTTACTTATTAAGCAAAACATAAATTATGTATGGCACTTTAAAATATACATCTCCACATATATTTACACTGCGTTTCTTTTGAGCAACCTGTGAATCCCTCTGTCCTCTCCTGGGTGTACTAGGGAAGTTGTATTTGCTCTCTACTTCCTTTTAATTTGCCACAGTGCCGAGACAAAGGAAAAGTACTGTAAAAACATCAGAGAAAAACTGGATTTGATGGGGTGCAAGGGGAACCAGGACTCTGCTCTCACTGCCAGGTCTGGCAGTGCAATGCTGTGAGCTGCTGAGAAGCCAAATAAACCTCAGAGCTCTCCACTCAGTACCTGGCAAGGGAATGACAAAGCTGAATTAAAACCATGTTTGTAAGGAGCTGTGAATTTTTTTGCTGGAAGGTGCTGTGGAATTGTGAAGTTGGTTGCAGTGACTTCCAGGGCTCAGACAAGCCAGGATGATGATGGTGACAGGCTGACATCCAGCTGCCATCCACTGCTACCTGTACAGAGCATTTCCTTACTCCTCTGGTTTCACTCTCCCCTTCCAAAGAGGTCTCACAGCCCTGAGACTGACCTCAGCTGACAGCTATGAAGGGCAAGCTCTGAAGTGTTTAGCTGAATGTAACCCATAAAGGTTGGCTCTGGGGAAGAAATGGACCTCTAAAATAATGTGACAAAGGGATGTGGAGAGAGAGTGCTACAGATTTCACACTTTCACAGAGAAAAGAAAAAAAAATCAGGCATCTGTTCCAGTGATATGCACAATTCAGCAAAAATTGCTAGCTGTGTGCCTTCAGGCTTAAATTTGCACAACGAAATGTATCCTTTACAAAGGTATTTCTTTTAATGCCTGCTCAGTTCAGTTTTATTGGATTGGCCTATAGAGGACACCATCTGGTATCTGTCATCCAAATCTACACAGACATGCTATCGATAAAATCCCCATTTCCAAAACGTGGCTTACTTAAAAGCAGGGCCAGATTGCTGCCTGGTACAAATTGGGCTGACTGATGTAGCTATCCATGCTTTTACCAGCAAAGGATCTGACCTACAAAATCCCCAATTTAGATCCTCTTCTGGGACAGGGCTTCCTTTATATTCTGTGCTGTTAAGCATGTGGCACAGAGGACACAGAGCCATGAATAAAACACTCAAGGATTGTGGTGGTACACATAATAAATAGTAATCTAATTGCAGCAACAGAAAGATTTCTGTAGTCATTGCTGTGTCAGAACAAGCCATGCGTGTCACTCGCTGAAGGACCAGCATTTCCCATGGAGAAAAACCCTCTCCATCTCAGGCCCTTCCACAGCACTTCAGGTAGAGCAATAAAGGCAGAGCTTATGCTATTGTTGGCCATGTTATATCAATTTATTATATAGGAGTCAACCGAGTCTCTCTAGACACTCAGACACTTCTCATAAAGACAGTATGTAGCCCAAAGAAATACATCCTTCTCTTCCACCCCTTGGGGTAAAACAGGCCATCTCACTTCTCAGCTATGCAGAACATTTTAACTTCATTAAATGCCCTTCAGCTGTTCCCAAAGAGCTGAGTGTTTGCACACAGAAAGACATTGTACCAAACTTTGAGAAGTTTACTGAACCGGGGCGGGAGACCCAAGTTTCCTCTTCCTCTCCCAAACCCCCAGAGGGAAGGAGATTTCAGCAATAAACCATCCCAGAAACGAAACCCTGCTGTGCCTGCAGCCCGAGGGGGGCTCCAGCAGGGCTCCCCGAGTTCCTCAGCCCCAGGAGCTGCACTTACATCGCTGAGCCTTTCCCGGGAGCTGCTCCGGTGGAAGCCCTTGGACTCGCCGCTGGCGCTCTCGCTGTCGCTGTCTCGGCAGCTGTTCTGGCCTGGCTTGAGCTGCAGGAAACACAAAGAGAGCGAGAGATGAGCCTGGTGCAGGTGAGTGCCCTTGTCCCACTCTCCTGGAAGCCTTCTCAAGCCCCGTGGCTCGGCCCCAGGGACACCGCGGACACGGGGTCCTGCTCAGCACAACACCCGTGTCCCAAGGAAATCACAGTCTGACACCTTCATCTGGGGAAATTTCAGGCTTCTCAAGGTATTTCTGCCATGGATGAAGCTTTTAGAGTTCCCATCCCATTGCAGCTCCTCCCTCATTGCGGCATTGAGGACCTGAGATCAAGGCAGTCTCCCCAGGGGAAGAGGTGATCACCCCTCCAGAGGAGCCTTGCTTTTGCTGGACCAGCTCTGAACCACACTGCCTGCTACTCTAAACAACTTCTAAACAACATCAGTCAAATCAAAGTAAAGACATAAAGTCCATGAAATGAAAAGTTCCAACACACAACTGAGTTACACCTGCAAAAATGGCACAGGCGTTCTCTCAGCTCAAAGAAAATGCAGCAGAAGGACCAGAGCTATTTGTCAGATATTCACAATTCAATAAATAATCTAAATATTCCACAGCTCAGGCAGAAGGTTTCCAGTAAAATGATTTTTATTTCCAGTGGAAGGGTTTATCAGTCAGATCTAGGAGATCTTGGAGGCAGAGGGGAGGATGACAAATTCAACAAGTCTTACACCTCATATAAAACTGACTGATCTTATCTAGGACCTTCGTGTCCTGTAATTTTATGGTCCCAAGTTTAAAATTTAACCACCCAAAGGAAAATGGATCAAGTTTCCCTGACTTGGTCTTTTGTCAACATCTGCCCAATGATGGAAAAACTCTTATTGCAAATGGGGTGTTAAGAATTATTTTTTCCAGCCTCAGATTTTATTTCTAGAGCCCAAATTTAGTTTGTACACAACCTCCACACATTAGTTATTTGGTAACTAATCATAACAGCCCAGTTTTATAATTCTTCTACATCACAAATTCCAGCTTACTTACAGAGAAGAGAAGAAAAACCCAGCAGGTGTCATTTTCCTAGACACAATTTACAAGGAGTAAGAGAGAATGATGAAGATATCTGAGCCTGAAACTCCACAGAAGAAAAATGAACTTCATGGACTAGTCAGCTAACTCAGGAATAAGTCCAAGTTAAGATTTATAAGCTTTCCATATTTTCCTCTCTTTTTTTCCAAGTTGAGTTTCTCCACTTGCCAAATTGTTGAGGGTTTACATTTTATTCCAGAACCCATCAATCTGTGTTACATTAAAAAAGTAAAGCAAGGAAATGTGCCTGTTGTCTTCTCTTAAGAACCTAAAGTCACACTCAAATGCACATGAGAGCAATAAATGTGGACAGGCCATGGGTCATTTCATTTCAATCTGATCTTTGCACAGACTCAACTGCTAAAAACAATGCTGAAATAACAGAGTGCTGCTAAAAAGGTGCACAGATAACAGACTGGATCTTTAGTTACACTGTGTGCACCTGGTGCATCACCCTAAACACAGGAGCCCTAAAATCAGTTTTATCTGTGAAGGGATCCACCTAAAAGGTCTCAAAAAGAGGAAATACAGACATTTTCCAGACTGAAAGCCCAAAAGCCTAAAACTCAGAGTGTCTCTGACTCACTGGAGTGTGCAGAGTCTCAGGGACTGCCCTAGAGAGAGATGGGGTCCATGCAAAAAAAGCAGCACAAGAACACTTGTCCAGGCTGAACAGCACAGGACTCAACCCTGGGGCACACCCACAGCTCCAAAACTTCTCCAGGTTTTGGTCATTCTTAGCATTGCATTTTTTGAAACCATTCACTACAGAACCTGTTAGTTTGTAATGCCTTTGAACCTGCTGGAGGACACCACAAGCAGAAAGTGAATGAAGTCATAAGTACATTTCTATTCAAGGAAAAGACCAAAAAGCAGATTTGGAAGGGTGGCTGCTGGCTGAGGGCTGGACTGGGGTTCAACAGAGGGATTTATTTCTGATTCCTTCCCCAAAAAGTGAGAGGAATAGTCTTCCCTGCTCTCCAGAACTGGACTCTGGGGGATTTCTCTATCAGGACGGTTTCCAGACAGTGAGAGGGTCACTGAGAGCACGGAGAGGAGAGGCACAAGACATGGAACACCAAGAGTGACCATTTAATGGAGAAAGAAAGACTTGCTCAGGCCTGAAGGTCACACAGAAACCACCCAGAAATTATGAATAAACCAAAATAGATGCAGAAACATCATCACAAAACTGCTGCCACAGCAAGTGCTAACAGGAACTCTTCTCTCAGCCCACGGAGAGGTTTTCAGGTGACTTGGAATCCAACAGAACTATTTTTGCAGCAGGGAGACACTCAGCCCTACTTTGTGAAAGTGCAAGCTGAATATTCATCTGTGTCCAGGGAAAGCAGCTCTGTGCTGTGCTCCCTCTGCCATTCAGGGTCACAGGGTGAAGCAGAGCTGAACTCTCAGGCTCAGGAGCAGGACAGACCTAGAGGAGCAGTGCCAGGGTTCCTGTGCCAGCCAGACATTTCTGTGATGTGAGAGGAGGGGCACAGGAGCCACACAACAGCCCTGAGGGTAATCCACGACAGCAGGGCTCTTCCCTCAGACAGAAAAAGAAGGAAGGACACAGAGTCAATCATGTCAAGAGGTGTAAGGGAGGATGGAAGGGCAGCTGAGCCCCAGACTCCAGGGAGCATCATCCTCTTGGGACCACAGCTGGCTGTGCTGGATCCCTAAGCCACTTCAGATAATTCTATAGTAGCACATAACAAAAAGCAAATAAATAAACCCTCTGAGAATTTGGCAAAAGCCTTTTTCACAGAGCTTGTATATCATGTCAAAAACACCCTAATGTGGCTCTCCTGAGCTTTTTTATTTTAAAATGTATTTTAATTTTAAAACCCCACACCATTTGGCAGCAGTAAATCTATAGTAAAGTTTCGAGGTGCCTGAGCTTCCACGCCATATGGAATTAAAGGATTATTTCACTACATTATACTTTAAAGCTATGAATACTAACACCTCTCCCTGCTACAGCACAGCCAGCAAGCTGAGCCTTCAGCAGAGCCCTAAAGGAAGGGGAGCCCTGCTCCCTGAGAGATGGCAGAGCCCTGCTGTGGGGAGCAGAATTCCAGGATTTCACTTCTGCCTGTCGCTCTTTATTTGTACAGCTTTGGCAAAGGCTGTCCCAGCTCCAGCCTGGGTGAGTTCTGCTCCCTGCTGTTCCCTAGCTCAGCTCAGCTGACCCTACATGTGCCATTGGGAACGCTTCAAAGCCCCAAAATCCTCTCAGCAGGTACCTGACCCCGCTCCTGGGCAGGGCACAGCACACACACGTTTCCAGCTGCTCCCCAGGGCCTGCCTCCATCTGCTCTCTGGGCTTTTCCCAGCCTGGAACAGGACCCAGGAATGGGAATTGTTGTCCCTTCTGGCAGGCACACCCTGTTCCCCAGCGAGGCACACACAGAATCACAGACAAATCAGACAATGCAGACGAGCACGAGCTGCTCCAAAGGCCAGGGAGCACCAGCCTGGGAGAGGAGATAACAGGGGGATCCCAGTTATCCCAGTTATCCCAGTTATCCCAGTTATCCCAGTTATCCCAGTTATCCCAGCCACATCCCCAGACCCCAGGCAGGGCACTGACATCCCGAGTGGCCAAGCTGCACCAACAGCCCCAGGCCAGCCCCTGCCCTGCCCAAAAAACCCAGCCCTGATGTGGCTTCAGGAGCCAGGAAAGAGCAGCAGCGGGTTTCGTGCAGAACTGAACATCAGATTGCAAAGAAAACATGTTTTATCAATGATCAAGAACAAATCTGGCTGTATGAAAACAAATAAAAGGGGAACTGCATAGCAAGAAATAACCAAAAAAACAACAGCGTAAATCAAGGCTTGTTATTTCTGATTTCAATCATGGTTAACAGCTGTCATTACAAAACTTCTATTTCTGTCTCTCCTGCTACTGACAGAAGTTAGACAAATACTCCTTATCCAGCACTCCCAGGTCACAAATGGTTCCACACAGTGCTTGGGGTCTGGGGCAAAACCTCTCCACTGCATTTCTGCCAGAATGGGGAGCAGCACAAGGAAAGCAATCAGAGGTGAGATAACGAGGAGGAGGAATATTTACAGCACACCAGGTTAGGCAGTAAATATAAAAAAAAGGATTCACACCGTGTGTGGACTCTGAACATCATTAATACAAAGACATTTTTCACCTCATGGAAGAAAAATCTCGTTACCTGAGAGATACAATAAAACATTAGGAGAGGCTCTCTGTTTACCTCTTGATATACAATCCTATGACAAGCAGTGCAGATGCTCCAAGAAATTGCCAGCTTCTGAGGATCCAGGCCTACATGCCTTCATCCTGGGATCTGACATCCCCACCAGAAATGGAGCTTGTATGGTAAAAGTGAGGGAAACCAACAAAGACAACATATTATCTTTTGTTTCCTTCCTACCTTTAATTAGAAGAAAACGTAATTTTTCTGTTCCAAAACTCTTTTTATGAAAAAAAACATGTACAAACACATGTACATTCTTTCAATTTCCTGATGACAAAAAAAAAAAAATCTAAATTGAGCAAATAACTACCAACAATTTTCTAATCAGCTCGATGATACAGAACAAGGGTGAACTCGTACAGAACTTATTCTGCAGCACTGCTGGTCATTTCCTGAGCTGATCCAGAGTCTGCTGCTGCACTTGCTCAATAAATTGGAGTAGAGGAGCTCATTCCCTACAGCCTTGAGTGGGAGAGATCCACCAAAGGAGCAGAGCTCCCCCCCTGTGCTCCTGGGGAGAATTTGGCTATTTAGCATTGCTATTGCAGACACAGCGAGCGATGGGGCTCTGCTGGCAGGAGCAGGAGCCGAGGCAACACAGGCTAAGAATAAACAGAAAAAAAAAAAAGAAAGAAAAAAACCCATCCTCACCAGACGGGGGTGGGGGAGAAAGAAACAGGCATTTATTTCCAGATCCTCTTCGCCTTCATTATATGCTTGGGCAACCT